TCCGACTCTCTCCACCCCTGACCCAACGCCTGTGGTGAATTGACCCCTCGCTGCCATCCGTAGGTTTGTCCCCTTTTAGTTCCCAGACAGGCTAAGTCCAGAAGTACAGTTTTTAAAATGAGATTGTCTAATTACTTTGGTTCATATGATCTGGGAGAATGATTTGACCATGTTCCAATGATAAAACCTTAGATACACCTGACTTCAAATTCTGCTAAAATTTTCACGTAAAACGAAAACTCCTATTGAATACATGGAGACAAAATAAGCAGCCCAAGGGGGGAAATAAGTAGTGCTTAGATGGGACTTACGAAATGAATAAAGATAGTAATTGCAATTTAACATCACTTATTAATTTGAAAGCCAGAGGCATTTTTGTTCCCACTGGTGCCCTATCAGCTTCCATATTAAGAATAGGGTGAAAGATCTTTTTAAATTTCCAAGGAAGGCAATGCTTCAACAATGTGTTCCAATCATTTCATGTGCAAGTACCTGGACCGTAGCTGGCAGCTCATTCTGTGGACTGAGGCCACTTGTGCTTTTCCGGCCAACTGTATTCTGGGTGTACCTGCCTTATTCACCAGGACTTCTCCAGGAATCACCGGCCATGATCTTTCAGCTTCATTCTGAAAGCCTGAAACCAGAACTGGCTTTACAATAAGAATCAACATAGGCCAGGCGTTGGTGGCACACACCTTTAATCCCAGCACTCGGGAGGCAGAGGCAGGCGGATCTCTATGAGTTAGAGACCAGCCTGGTCTGCAAGAGCTACTTCCAGGACAGGCGCCAAAGCCACAAAGAAACCCTGTCTAGACCCCCCCAAAAAAAAGAATATCAATATAGCTGTGATAGTTAAAAGGAACTATAGCTCTCTAAGCTCAATTAAAACAACTGTGACCTCTGGGGTGGAAAAAAATCCTTAAGGCACTTATCAACAGACTATCTCCCTCAGAAAAGGTTGACATTTTTTCTAAATCCTGCATAACATTGTTTGTAAATTATCTTATAGCAAACAGAGAGGGGGAAGCAGGGGATAATACAATTTGCTTGTTCTAGATAGAGTTGTAGACATTTATTGTAAATCAACCCAACAACAAAGAAGGATGTTCCAAACCAAGTGAATGACTGGGAATTTGAGAACTGTGTTCTTCGTACATTATGGGAATATCAGGCCCTTGATATTGGTCGATTTAGAGCTGACACAGCTGTATGCTATTCCCAAGCCTTGAGATATCCCTTCATTCTTTTTCCTTTAGTAATGATCTGTTTGGTTAATTTATTGTGAAATAAAGGGAATTAATAGGAAAAACTGGTTGGTAAAGTATAAAGATGGACTTCTGGACAATGCCCCAGGCATGTACTGGGACATTTTGTGAACATAGGATAGGTTTCCTTAAATGGGTTTAGGAGAATCTGTCAAAGATCAGGGGCTGTTGCCACACAAAGCAATTTATTCAAATAAACAGGACAGATTTGGAATTTTACCTTCTTCTGAGTCAACTGAATTAGTCATAAAAATATTAGCAAGATTGCTGCTTGGGGTATCTGTTAGAGAACAGAGGGTGCTCTGCTTTTATAACTTTAAAAGAGACAGGAGAAACAGTGGATGGATGTCCTTACATCTGTCGTTCATAGAATTCAGAAAGGGACAAGAGGCAGGCCAGAGACAAAGACACACAGTGAAAGGGACAGAGATACACTTCTCTGAACCAGAATAGTTGACTTTGGACAAAAATCTTGGTTTTTGAGCGAGCACTTGTCTCCAGTCTCTCTGCACAGAACTTAAAAGAATTCATCACTAAATCAAAGATTTTTACCACTATATTTTTTAGGACAAATGACATTTATGTTTTGATAAATTCAGTATTTCCCATTTAAACATTTTATTGTAAAATATAGTGCAAAGATAATTGCATAAGACTAGGCAATGATGGTGAATGTCTTTAATCAAGTATTCAGAAGGCAGAGGCAGGTGGATCTCTGTGAGTCTGAGGCCAGCCTGGTCTATAGAGCCAGTTCTAGGACAGCCAGGGTTACTTACAGAGGGAAACCTTGTCTCAAAGAATATAATTGCTTAAAACAAAATTATGCTTATTTTCTCATAAAAAGGCAAAACTACAACTGGGGTTGGGCACCCCATAGTCAATTGTTCTCTGAATTTTGACCTAAGGCTCAAGATACATCCAGAAGGAGAGAAAGAAAGATTGTAAGTACCAAAATGTTTGCTTCAGGGTAGTGTCTTCGGTATATGACAGACAAACTGCATACGTGAAATCTCAGTAAGAAGACCTACACAATGATAACGCTAGTTGGCATACCAATATAGATGGGGAAAATTTCATAAGTTTCTCTCTAGAACTGTGAGTTGCAACCCCTCTGGCAAACCTCTATCTCCAAAAATATTTACATTACAATTCATAACATAGTAATATTACAATTATGAAGTAGCAAGGAAATAACTTTATGGTTGGGGGTCACCACAACATGAAGACCTGTATTAAAAGGTTGCAGCATTGGGAAGGTTGAGAACCACTGCCCTAGAAGAGCTACAAGCAGTTAATGGCTGCTGAGAGAGGTCAAATCTTTCTTTTCCAAGGACAAGACCTCTGATAGGTGATTGAGTCTGAAGTGGTCAGCCCTAAACATGTATACACTCGAGGAACACTAAATGAACTCAGCAGATTGTGTTTGTATATAAATATTATATATGTGTAATAAAAATAATTAGAGAAGATTCATGAATCCAAGAGTGAGTGGAAGGGACATAAGATAAGTTAGGGGAGGCAAAAGAGGGGGAAATATTGAAACTAAAATACCCATGTATGAAAGTCTCAAAATTATAAAGCAAATAAAAATATGACCTTATAAATATTTTTGTAAAGAGTAAACATACCTATAACCAACAATAAATGGAAAATTGTACCAGATGTTGTAGTACCCATATGTAACTTAAGGATTTGGGAAGTAGAGATAGGAGAATCAGAAGTTCAAAGTCAGTTAGGTACCTAATAAGAGACTGGGTAGAGGAGGAGATCTTAATTTTTTATTTAAATTTTTTAATTTTTATTTTACATATAAACCCCAGTTCCTCCTCCCCCTTCTCCCAACCTCCCCACCTACCCCCTTCCACCACCTCCCATCCACTCCTCAGAGTAGGTAAGGCCTTCCTTGAGAAGCATACCAAGATAAGGCAGGGCCAAGCCCCTCTCTCCTATATCAGTGGGCTCCAAAAAGCCAATCCATGCACCTGAGATAGGTCCTGGTGCCACTGCCAGGGGTCCCACAGACTGTCCAAGCCACAGAACTGTCACCCACATTCAGAAGGCCTAGTTCAATCCCATGTAGGTTCCAGGAGGGGATCTTCTAAGGAAGGAGAAATAGAATATTAGTGCTATAAAGAGATAAGGGTGAAACATTGAAATCTTTTGTCTTTTCTACTATATTCAATACTATAAAATTCCTTTTAGATACTTCTTTAAAATTATCCATTTTTCTCCTACCTCCCCCTTACCCCAATACTCCCCATTTGTTCAGGGGTTCTCGTCCCTTTCTGCTTCACTGGGGGACCGTGTATGTCTCTCTTATGGTCCTCCTTGTTTCCTAGCTTCTCTGGAGGTGTGGATTGTAGGCTGGTAATCCTTTTCACTATGTCTAGAATCCATATGTGAGTAAGTACATACCATGTTTGTCTTTCTGTGACTGAGTTACCTCACTTAGGATGGTTTCTTCTAGTTCATCCATTTGCCTGCAAATTTCAAGATTCCATTGGTTTTTTTTTTCTGCTGAGTAGTACTCCATTGTGTAAATGTACCACATTTTCTGTATCCAAAGAGGAGGGGAGAAGAGGAGGGGGGAAGAGAACATGAGGGATCAGGAAAATTGAGTGGGGAGAGGAATAGACGAGAGCAAGAAAAGAGACACATCAATAGAGGGAGCCACTATAGGTTTAAAGAGAAATCTGGCACTAGGGAATTGTACAGAGATTCACAAAGATGACCCCAACTAGCACCCTAAGCAATAGTGGAGAGGCTACCTTAAATGCCTGTCCCCTATAATGAGAATGATGACTACCTTAAATGCCATCCTAGAGCCTTCATCCAGTAGCTGATGGAAGCAGGAGAGATTCACAGCTAAACACTGAGCCAAACTCCTGGAATCCAGTTTCAGAGAGGGAGGAATGACCAACAGAGGGGTCAAGACCACACTGGAAAAAAACAAAAACACCTGCCTGAGCAAATGGGAACTCATGGACCCCAGTCTGACAGCTGGGGAACAAACACAGGACCAAACCAGGCCCCCTGAATGTGGGTATCAGTTAGGAGCACTGGGCAGTCTATGGCTCGGCAATCTATGGGGCCTCTGTAGTGAATCAGTATTTATCCCTCATATACTAATGGGCTTTGCAAGCCCATTCTACAGAGAGGGATACTCTGTCAGCCTAGACACACACACAGGGGAGGGCCTAGGCCCTGCTCCAAATGATATCACAGACTTTGAAGATCCCCTATGAAAGGCCTCACCCTCTCTGGGGAGCACAAAAGGGATGGGATGGGAGGTTGTTGGGGAGCTTGGGAAGGTGGGAGGGAGAGGGAACTAGGATTGATATGCAAAAAACATTAATTTCCTGATTAATTTATCTTATGATCCATAAGTTATAGGACTTAATTTAGTTTCCTAAATTTTAGGGATTTCACATAATCATCCTATTATGGATTTCCATTGCTGGATGAGAAAATATGTATATAATTTGAGGCCTTGAATTTGAAGGGATATGGTTTATATTAGTAAATAGTCCATGTGTATTTGAGAAAATGTATATCATAATATTGTTGTGGAATATGTTATA